TTTGTTTGTTTGTGTGTTTGATCACCGCTGCAGAGCGTGCTCACTGCTGCTGCTCCTCTCTCTCTCCAGGCTGCAGGCTCTCTCCACCTCCCTGAAGTGAGCTCGCAGCAGCTCCATGTTGACCTGCGCCTCCTGCCTGTGGGTCYGCTCCTCCTCCAGCTCCTGCTCCCTCAGCTGCAGAGACATCAGTTAGTCGTCAGCAGGAGAAACGTGACGTTCAAACCTTCACAACCTGACCTCCTTCTCCCTGCGACTCCTCTCCTCCTTCTCCACCAGGACCCTCAGCTCTTCGGCTCGTCGTTTGTCCTCCTCCTCCCTCTCCCTTTGMGTCTCCACCATCCTCCTCTTGGACTCCTCCAGCGCCTCCTCCTGACCCTGGAGGAGCACACTGTAAGCAGTCCACAGAGACCAGAACCAGGCTGAACACCAGGAGCCAGACCTGCAGCAGTCGGTGCAGTCTCTGGTTCTCACAGCTGAAGCTCTGAATCAGTCCGTCTCGCTCCTCCACCTCCTGCTGCAAAGCATGCTGGTCCTCCTCCCGGGCCTGCCGCGTGGCGTGCAGAGCTTTCTGCAGCTCGCCCACGGTCTGCTGCAGCTCGGCCATTCGCTCTGAGGAACAAACAGTTTTAGATCTGCTGATCCTGACCTGACACAGAGACGTGAGAGTCAGGAGAAAAAGACTAAATGACCTGTGGTCTGCTGCAGACACTTCTGATTCCTTTTGAGTTCATCTGATTCTTTCTGATTCATCCTGATTCATTCTGATATATGATTCATTCTGATTCCTTTTGATTCTATCTGATACCAGCTGATTCTTTCTGATTCCTTTTGATTCTATCTGATTCATCCTGATTCCTTTTGATTCTTTGACACCAGCTGATTCATTCTGATATCATCTGATTCGTTCTGACTCCTTGTGATTCTTTCTGACTCCTAGTGATTCATTCTGATATATGATTCATTCTGACTCCTTTTGATTCATCCTGATTCCTTTCGATTCTATTTGATACCATCTGATTCATTCTGATTCCTTGTGATTCATTCTGATATAGGATTCATTCTGACTCCTTTTGATTCATCCTGATTCCTTTCGATTCTATTTGATACCATCTGATTCATTCTGACTCCTTTTGATTCATTCTGATTCCTTATGAGTTCATCTGATTCTTTCTGATTCCTTTTGAGTTCATCTGATTCGTTCTGACTCCTTGTGATTCTTTCTGATTCCTTGTGATTCATTCTGATATATGATTCATTCTGACTCCTTTTGATTCATTCTGATTCCTTATGAGTTCATCTGATTCTTTCTGATTCCTTTTGAGTTCATCTGATTCGTTCTGACTCCTTGTGATTCTTTCTGATTCCTTGTGATTCATTCTGATATATGATTCATTCTGACTCCTTTTGATTCATTCTGATTCCTTATGAGTTCATCTGATTCTTTCTGATTCCTTTTGAGTTCATCTGATTCATTCTGACTCCTTTTGATTCATTCTGATTCCTTATGAGTTCATCTGATTCTTTCTGATTCCTTTTGAGTTCATCTGATTCATTCTGACTCCTTTTGATTCTTTCTGATTCCTTTCAATTCCTTCTGATTCACTGACACTTTCTCATATCATCTCATTCTTTTTGATATCATCTGACTCTTTCGGATATCATTTGATTCTTTTTGATATCAGATTCTGTCTGATATCTGATTCCTTTTGAGTTCATCTGATTCATTCTGACTCCTTTTGATTCTTTCTGATTCCTTTCAATTCCTTCTGATTCACTGACACTTTCTCATATCATCTCATTCTTTTTGATATCATCTGACTCTTTCGGATATCATTTGATTCTTTTTGATATCAGATTCTGTCTGATATCTGATTCCTTTTGAGTTCATCTGGTTCTATCTGATGTAATCTGATTCATTCTGATTTGATCTGATTCCTTTCGATTCCTTCTGATTCATTGACACTTTCTGATTTCATCTGATTCTTTCTGATATCTGACTCTTTCTGATATCATACGATTCTTTCTGATATCTGATTCTGATATCTGATTCTTTCTGATATCATATGATTCTTTATATCTGACTCTTTCTGATATCATATGATTCTTTCTGATATCATCTGACTCTTTCTGATATCATCTGACTCTTTCTGATATCATCTGATTCTTTCTGATATCATATGACTCTTTCTGATATCATCTGACTCTTTCTGATATCATCTGACTCTTTCTGATATCATCTGATTCTTTCTGATATCATCTGACTCTCTCATTCCTTCAGATTATTTCTGATTATTTCAGTCTACTTTCATTCTATCTGATTCACGTTCAGATCAACACTTCTGTCACYCTGCAGGAGGAAGCCTCAGTGCTGTGGTGAACACAAACATCTTTACCTGAGCACACCTGAAGCTGAGGCGTTTCAACATGGTTACCATGGTAACAGCATCCAGACCAGCAGTACAGGCCCTCACGTCGATGGTTTTTTTTCTAACCTGTGAGCGTTCGYCTGTCTCTGCTGAGCTCGGCGACTCGCTCTCCGTCTCTGCGGCTCGCGGTCAGCTGGTACTGAAGCTCCGCCCTCTGGGCCTGGCCTCGCTCCACCGAGGMCCGGAGGCGGGCCAGCTCGGCCTGCAGCCGGCACACCTGGATGAACACAAAGTGATGAGTGTTTCAGCAGGCTCTTGTTGGTTTGTTCTCTGTTTAATTTAATTATTGATGTGATAAACGTCCAGCAGGAGGCGCTGCAGACCAGCACCTCCTCTGTACCTCCTGGTTGCAGCTGCTCCTCAGCGTCAGCTTCTCCTTCTCCAGCTGGTTGATTCTCCATCTCAGGCTCCTGGACCTGTCGCTGCCTTCGCCTCCTTCTGAGGCCGCCCTCCTCTCTGCGTCTCCTCGTTTCTCCTCCTGTTTCCTCTCTGCTCCTCGTCCCCCACCTCCTTCCTGTTTCTCTCTGTGACCCTTTGAGTCSATCATCTCTGTGATCCTGAAGGAAAAGAAAGAATCCAGGGTTTAAGGAGGTGTTTTTGTTTGTTTATAATCACATCTGATTATTTTAGAAAATAATTTACTTTATTTCATTTTATTTTATCACCTCCTGTTCTCCTCCCCAGCTCCTCTCCTGGTCCGACCCAACGGTCCTGGCTGCATCTCTCTAATTCCCTGAAGACAGGTTTAAACAGACAAAAACAAAGATGAACAAAATATTCTAAATCAAGTAAAATTATTGAGAGATTTAAAGTAAAAATAATAAATAAGATCAACTCTGGTAATTAATTACATAAAACCTGAGCTTAGTTAGGAAACAGAAACCCTGGGGGCTGATCCAGGACCAGGGGAGGCTGCTGTTGTCAGCGGAGACGATCAACACTGTGCATGTCCGCACACCAGACTCTGTTTACAAATCTTTCCTTTTAAATTTATCACCAAGTATTATAAGTTATAAACCATTTACAACATCAAAATAAAGTTTCTAAAGAACAGGACTGATCATCTATGTAATTCGGTATTATTCACACACTCACASAACTACGTTTTAAACAAATTTTGTAACAATAAACTCCACGATCAACACTTCACAGCACACACAGCTGCGGTTTGTTTAACTAAAACTTTACACTCTTTAAAGTTTTATATCGTCTGCGAGTCCCGACTTTATAAAAACATATCGACTTTATTAAAATCTTGAGGAGTCCCCCACGAGTCAAAGCACAAAGTTTTTACTTTCTGAATGAAATCACGTTAAAAACAAAATAAAAACAACAGTTTTCAATGCTGCTTTGAGTCTCTATTATATTCAAATAAACTTTAACAAAAATAAAACTCTCTGTAGCACCATTTTATTTTATAAAACTGAGAATAAACTGCATAAATAAATGTTTTTAGGCTAAAAGACTCACTGAATGTACGACTCGTCCCGAAACCGTTTAAAACTGACGCCATGTTAGCATCAGTACATCACTTCCGCGTCTGTTATTATTGGCCAATCAGAGCGTCTCAAATCCTTACAACTTTTAGAAGTCCCAAAATATGCCTGAACAAAATATAAATTATTATTTTAACCCAAATTGAGATTTTAATTTTCTTGTAAAATTGATTTCTTAGGGAAAAATAGATAAAATTTTAATTTAGTTATAGTTCAAATAAATAAAGTACAACATGCAAATTAAAAAAATATTAAAAACGTTAATATTGTGTAGAGTTGTATGGTACTTTTTTATTTTAGGATCTTAGTTGACTCTGATCAACAGTTTTTAAACAGGTTCAACTAGTTAAACTGATTAAAACACTTTATAATTTTGTGATAACATTGAATTAAATGATGTTTTAATTTTCAGAGGCACTTATCTTCAGAGACAGATATTATTTTACGGTTAAATGATACAGATTAGATGAATTAGTCCATAAATATAACGTGTTTTACATGTAAACACTCTGTCTGTCCACCAGGGGCAGCAGTTCTGCTGTGGTTTGAGTCGCTGCTTCATTTGACTGTAAAACAAGAATGAATGAAAACAACATGGCGGCCTCCATAGAACACGCTGAATCCACGTCCAAAGAGACAGAACCTCCAGAAACAGACCCAACAGAACCTCCAGAAACAGACCCAACAGAACCTCCAGAAACAGACCCAACAGAACCTCCAGTACCAACTCAACGTACAGAGAAGTCTGATTCTGAGTCGGAAGAACCGGACCCATATGATGATGATGAGGAGGAGGAAGATGGCGAGCCGYCCGGACCGAAGACCCGTGAAACCCCGCAGGACATCCGGCTGGAGGCGGCCGCCAACACCGTGGCTCTGCACCCCAGCAGGGACGTGCTGGTCTGCGGGGACGTGGACGGGGACGTGTACGCCTTCAGCTACTCGTGCACGGAGGGGGAGAACCGGGAGCTGTGGTCCTCCGGACACCACCTGAAGTCCTGCCGCCAGGTGCGCTTTTCTGAGGACGGGCTGCAGCTGTACACCGTGTCCCGGGACAAGGCCGTCCACCTGATGGACGTGGAGCGGGGACAGCTGGTCTCACGGATCCGAGGGGCCCACACGGCCCCCATCAACAGCCTGCTGCTGGTGGACCAGAACATCCTGGCCACTGGAGACGACAGGGGCACCCTGAAGGTAGGGGACAGAGGACAGAGACACCCTGAAGGTAGGGGACAGAGGACAGAGGACACAGAGACACCCTGAAGGTAGGGGACAGAGGACAGAGGACACAGAGACACTCTGAAGGTAGGGGACAGAGGACACAGAGACACTCTGAAGGTAGGGGACAGAGGACAGAGGACACAGGGACACTCTGAAGGTAGGGGACAGAGGACAGAGACACCCTGAAGGTAGGAGACAGAGGACACAGAGACACCCTGAAGGTAGGAGACAAAGGACAGAGACACTCTGAAGGTAGGAGACAGAGGACATTCTGAAGGTAGAGGACAGAGGACACAGAGACACCCTGAAGGTAGGGGACAGAGGACAGAGAGACACCCTGAAGGTAGGAGACAGAGGACATTCTGAAGGTAGAGGACAGAGGACACAGGGACACTCTGAAGGTAGGGGACAGAGGACACTCTGAAGGTAGAGGACAGAGGACACAGGGACACAGCCAAAGAAGTCCAGATTGTCCAGCATTGATCTAGGATGGTGTTGGAGCTAATAGCTAACAACAGAAAAGGCTAAACTTATCTTGATAATTAGCTAAAGGTGGCAGACACAAGTTAAATTAGTTCAGACATGGTGAAAGTTGTGGAAGAAACTTTAGTAAATAAAAGGATGAAAGTACAAAAAAGTTGCAATTTGTTGTAAAATAGGAAAAACAGCTGAAATGTCCATCAAAACAGCTAAAGTTTAGCTGAAAATGCTGAATTATGGATAAAGGAGCTCATTACAGAACTTAACTGAAAGAAGCTAAAACTGCCCACAAAATGTGGGATAAGGATTTCATTGCGTTGTTGACTCTTGTTAAGCTGCATATGACAATAAATGGATGCTGTGAAGTGTTCTCACAGTMACATGGTTATTGTAACGTTTAAATGAGCGGTCTGAACGGTTATCAAACCTGTCTCTGCAGGTTTGGGACATGAGGAAAGGAACGGCCATTATGGATCTGAAGCACCATGAGGATTACATCAGTGATATAACTGTGGACCAGGCCAAGAGGATCCTCCTGACAGCCAGGTAACCAGCAGCTGACCGTCTCTCCCAGTGAGACGTCCTGTCCCGTCCTGAGCTTTAACAGACCCGTGATTCCACAGTGGCGACGGCACCATGGGCGTCTTCAACATCAAGCGGCGGCGCTTYGAGCTCCTGTCCGAGGCCCAGAGCGGAGACCTGACCTCGGTGGCGCTGATGAAGCGGGGGAAGAAGGTGGTCTGYGGCTCCAGCGAGGGGACCGTCTACATCTTCAACTGGAACGGCTTCGGGGCCACCAGYGACCGCTTCGCCCTCAAGGCTGAGTCGGTGGACTGCATCGTCCCCGTYACCGACAACATCATGTGCACCGCCTCCATGGACGGGTACATCCGGTGAGTCGCTGCTGCCGTGGCCATAGATATAAAT